CTTTTCTAGGCTGGAGTGACACACTGGAGATTATCAGATGGGGGGTAAAGGATGGGGGTGAAGTGGATCACTCTCATCCTAATTATGTGATCATGCGAAAGAGTATCACAAATGTCACACTTATCCTGTAATTATCCTGTCAATGAAATGGAATTGTCCTGTCACTTTTGACTAATAGAAATGTCCATTAATGAAAAATGATGGGACAATTCCACTTCACTGACAGGTTAATTATGGTATAAGTGCAACATCGCATGGTAGTCGTTCACACGATCGCAGACAATTCCATTTCATTAACGGGATAATGTCCAGATAAGTGCGACATCATATGATAATCTTCATGCAATCACACAATAAGGATGGGAAAAGGAAGTCCTTTTCCTCATGTGATAATTCCCCCAGTCAAAGATTACATAGTGGAAAGAATGGTGTCATAAACCTGTGAAGCCAAAGAGATTTGGCTATATGGTGGCCTCACTCAGGGCAAGTGAAGGTGAATACGAGTGACTGCAGAAAACATTTTACAATAGTTACAAAAATGAATTTTTCAATTTTTCAGAAATGCCCCCCACAACAAAACCAAAATAGCAATGAGTGGTTTCAGTTCAGAGGTAGTTAAAATATTTTTAATTACTTCATCCTTCATGGCTTCACAAAGAACACAGTGAAATAAACCTTTTAACTTTTACATAGTTTTTGTCTTAAGGGTAATGAACCATATGTGAAGACATCTGTACCGCCTGCAATGTATGATCATTAATTAGAAAGAAGACAGGATATTTCATGACTTCTGGGACCAAAAACCCCAAAATCAAATGTAGCAGTGAATTGGGAGGGGGGGAGAATACCATATGTGTTCTGTGCATTATTTGTGTTGTATTTGGCTGCAAAGATCAAATGATGGGGAATCATGAGAGCAACGCCTTCCTATATACCAAGAGGAACACCAACATCATGGAAGGAGAACATTGTGAACTTCAGTTTGTGTCAGCCCCAGCCCACTTGGCCACTGGTAGTGGTAGATGGCCAGAGGTTCACACACTCTTGGATTACATCATGCTTATTCTTTTTTAAAATTTTATTTCCAGTATTTATATCCTGCCTTTCTCCCACAATGGGATTATTTCTCTTCCTTCCAATTCCACCTTAGAAAACATGACATCAAGCTGGCTTATGCAGAGTCCAGTAATGGGTCTATCTATACCAGTGGTTCTCAACCTGTGGGTCGCGACCCCGGCGGGGGTCGAATGACCAAAACACAGGGGTCGCCTAAAGCCATCGGAAAATACATATTTCCGATGGCTTTAGCTACTGAGAAGTCACGCATCATCCGTCCGGGGCCTAAGGGATGGGGGAAGAGGGGAGATGCTCCACAATCCATTGCAGTGCATTACGTGTGTCCGGCGCTTGCTGACGTCATCAGTGGGCAG